GTCAGAAAATTGTGCAGAAATAGCGGAAACCTATTTTTTTAATCGTTCTCTCCCATTTTTTTAATAATCGTCATCCCGCATTACTGGTACGTCTCCGTGCGTCCCATGCGGCCAGGCGTTGACAACCGCGCATCGTAGGATGCTTGGGTCCGCGGAGGCCCCCGGGCCTTCCGTCTGTCGCCCTGCCCTGGCTAGTCTGGGCGCGCGCCGGGGCCGGAACGGCGCGGCGGCGGCCCAAAGACGTGCCGCCGGAGTACTTGCGCAGGCCCTGCCATTCCCACCCCGATTTTCGCCGCGCCAATGGTGCCAATGCACCGCCCCGACATCACCAGTGCATCGCCGATGCATCGCCGATGCATCTGCGATGCATGGGCGATGCGGCGCGAACCTTCGACCCCATCTAGTCAGTTCCCATATAGGAGGCCTCCAATGTAGCAGCCGGATGTCAACATGTCGGGGCCCAGGTCTCCGGATTCGACCACATGAGCATGGCACCGTGCCGTTGGTTCTGGCGCGCGGCCTTCTGTCTTGGGGGGGGGCGCCGCAGCCACCAGGGCAAACGCCGCGTCGGACGCGATTCGTTTGCCGTGGGGTTTGCCGCGGCGCCAGCCTCGTCCACTTGAGGCCTGGCGCAGGGTTTGCCGTTGGTTTGCCGTGGTGTCGGCGTCGTCCACTTGGGCGTGTCGAGAACAAACGGCCCCGCGACACATGGAGGAGCGGGGATTCGCCTTTCACGCCCTTCCCCCACCCAGGCTCCAGTAAGCACATACAAGGACAGCAATGATGATGCTGATGATGCTGATGATGGTGGTGGTGGTGGTGCGGATTACGACGAGGAAATGGTTTATTTAATCGCTTCGCTCATTCCGCCGGCCCTGGAGCCCTCTTTAGGGCCTCTTGGGGGCCTCTTGAGTCTCTTGGGGCTCCTTGGCGGCGTCTTGGGGGCCTCCAGGGCCTCTTGGGGGGCTCTTGTGGGCCTCTTGGGGCGGGAGGGGGGGTAGTCGATTGCGGCTCCCCCCTCGGAGGCCACGATCCTCGTGAGGGGTGTCGAAAAACTGCCCAGTCCGGGGTCTCCTCCCGGGACTTGCTCGGGGTACTTTTCGCCCGGGGACCCCCAGGGGCCGCCCCGCGCGCGAACTAGAAATATTTTTAGCCAGTTACCCGAGATCTTAGCACGCCTCTGGCCCGTTGGGCCGGCGAACTAGTGTGCATACTGGTAGCAGCAGAGCGTGGCTCGCGAAACAACAGTGCTACCACGAGAAGCTGACCTCAGGGAGGTCCCCACGAAGAGCGTTTTTTGCATTTCCGCAAAGTCAGACAGCATTTGTTGGAATGATTGGGGTACGTATTGGAATCCACATATATATATATATACATATATATACATACATATATATATATATATATATATATATATATATATATATTCGGAGCTCGTTTCGCTCACACGCGCAGGAGCAGCTGCGTGCCAGAACAGAACACGCCGAGGACGAGCCCTCCAGCGTCGTGGCTGCTGTTCCCGAGGCGTGGCGCTTGGGCCCTCCGAGGCCCCCTTCCCCTGCGGACGGCTTGCCTCGTCCCGGACTGTTCTGCGCAGAGGGCCCACAGATCCTCCTCCTCCTCCTCCTCCTCCTCCTCCTCCTCCCCTCCTCCTCTCCCTCCCTCCTCCTCCCACCTCCTCCTCCTCCTCCTCCTGCTCCTCCTCCTCCTCCTCCGCCTCCTCCTCCTCCTCCTCTTCCTCCTCCTCTTCCTCCTCCTCCTCCTCCTCCTCCTCCTCCTCCTCAGGGTTTGGTCAGTCAGAGGGGATTCCGCGTGTGCCTACGTACGGTTTTGCGACTTGGGTCGTTCTCCGAGGGTTTCTCGCCACTCCGAGGTCCCAAAACCTCACCGCACGGTCCGTCACCGCACCGTGTTGGGGGTTGTCAAGAGACCAGAGACGGCGGCCAGTGGAGCCAGAAGCGGAGAAGAAATTCCGTTCTGATTTTTCCGAGGCGCTGGGCTTCTGCGGATGGAGGGCTCACGATCTCTTCCGAGCAGGCGCCAGACATGCAAAAGAGGCTCGGTTTTGATCTTTCAAGTCGTCGGGCTTCTGCGGAAGATGGCTCATTACCTGTTCCGAGATCTCCAGGGATCGGGGCCGCGGGCGGCGAGGCCGGCGAGGCAGGAACCGCCTGGCGCCATGCTGACGCACTGGGCGTTGATGGCCTGGCCTGGTGCCTCCCTCGGGGTTTGAGGTCCCCCCTCCCTCTCCCCCAGAGCTCCGACGGCACGATCTCTCGTCTCCTGAAAGCCCACTATCGGCTGTTTGTCACTGCAGCGGCGCCTGGGAATGCAGAGATTCCTCCTCCTCCCCTGGCCTGGTGCCCTCCTCGGGGTTTGATGTCCCCCTCCACCTCCCCCCCAGGGCTCCGACGGCGTGATATCTTTCGGCCCGGGCCGTCTCTCTCCTCGAGTTCGGCTTGTGACGCCCGTTGCTGGGCCCAGGGCCATACCAAAAGCGCTCCAGGATGAGAAAGACTCAGGAGGGAAACAACACACACACACAGCCACAATGAATCGTCGATTCCCCCGAACATATGGGAAAATATGGAAGTCGGGGAAAACACGCACACCCAGAACATCTGGGAAAACATGGGGGATTCCAGTTTCTTGTGTGTATTTATGTGTGTGTGTCCCAGGGCCCCTTCAAAGACCTTCTGCGAAGGGTCGGGACTTCTCGTGGGGCCGCGCAGTGACAGCAGCACATCGTCGGTCGTCTGGGCTCCCTCCTCCCCCTTCGCCTCCTCGCCATCCTCTTTCCAGGTCGAACCTGTCTCGGTCGTCGGCATCCTCCTCCTCCTGCATTCGCCTCTGCCTTGTGAATCATTCCTCACTGTCGCAGCCCCAGACGTGTCGGTAGGGCGTGCCGGGGAGTTTCGCCCGAGACTCCTCCATCACGTGTGGTCCTGAAGCGTGAACTTTGCAGCAGTTTCACGGACGGAGGATGGGCCGTTTGCAACATGTTGTTCTCGCCCCAGCGCCGCGCGGATTCAATTTGACAGTTTGCAGCAGCTTCACCGATGGAGGGTGGACCCTTTTCAGAATGTGGCTCTCGCCTTCTCCCGCTCTCCCCCCTGCGTGACCATTATCATGCTGCCCCCCCTTCCCCCTCCTCCCCCCCTCTTATCCCTGCTTCCTACTCCCCCTGCTCCTCTTCCTCCCCCTCCCCCCTGATCCCGCCCCCTCCTTCCGCTCCCCCCCCCTGCCCGTCCCCTCCCCCTCGCCCTGAACATCTTGTCTTTTCATAGAGCGTGTGCTCACCCGCATCCAAGAGAAGGTCCTCCGTCTCCTGAACACCACTATTGGCTGTTTGTTACTGCAGCGGCGCCTGGGAATGCAGAGATTCCTCCTCCTTCTCCCCTTGCTCCAATAGGACCGACTCCTACACGTAGATCTCGAGTGTTTCCACGCCCGAAACTGTCAAGGTTATGGAGAGTATTTCGTGTCGCGGTAGTGGGTGGTCTGGCCATGATTCTTGTTACCGTGGTTGGACCACAGCCGTTGTGGCTCAGGCCGGCTCAAGCTCAAGGCCCAAAGTTCAAATAGTCTCCCCCGCGCCCTTTTTGTGCCGCTCTGTGCTTGTGGCTGGGGCGTTTGATCAGAGGTACACCTCCGAGGGCGAAGCCCTTGGTCGCGCTTGGTTCGCCAAGCCTTGAGGAACCAGACGCGTGGTCCAGGGGCACTTGGGCGATGGGGGAGGATTATAACGAGGAGGAGGAGGAGGAGGAGGCGGAGGAGGAGGAGGCGGAGGAGGAGGCGGAGGAGGAGGAGGAGGCGGAGGAGGAGGAGGAGGAGGCGGAGGAGGAGGAGGAGGCGGAGGAGGAGGAGGAGGAGGAGGAGAGGGGAAGGGCGAAGGAGGCCCACCCGACCGCTTCAGTGTCCGCCCATCCCGCTCGCTAGGGTTCGCCCGCCTCGCCCGCCCGTCAGGGCCCGCCCGCCCGACGCGCCTGTCAGGGTCAGCCCGCCCACGAGCTTGGGAGCCCGTCCGCTCGCTTCAATTCCCCGTCCGCTGGACACGCCCGCCAGGGTCCGCCCGCCCGGCCCGTCCGTTAGGGCTGGCGCGCCCGACCCGACCGTCAGGGCCCGCCCGCCAAGTTTGTCAGGGCCCGCCCGCCAAGTTTGTGGCCTCCTCTCCTTCCTCCCCTGCGAGCCTTCTTCGCCCTCGGTCCTCGTCTCCCCTTGGCCCCTCTGCTGTCTCGGTCGCTCCTCCTTGCCTCGCTCTCTCCCTTTTCCCTTGCCTTCCGCCTCCTCCTCCTCCTCCTCCTCCTCCTCCTCCTCCTCCTCCTCCTCCTCCTCCTCCTCCGCGCCAACTGCACATGGCGTACAAGCAAGATCTGGCGCCCAAAGGGGGCTCGATCGCAGCCGGAGAGGGCGGGCAGCCGGGCTGTGGCACAGGAGCAGGGAGGGGAGGACATGGACAGCACGTGTGTTGCTGCTGCTGTTGCGGCTCCCGCTTTCTGGTCTCCGGAGATGGGCGGCCTGGTCGCCGCAGCTGGATTCGCCCGTGTCTTCGGGGAATGGGGGAGGGGGAGGATGGAGGAGAGGGGGAGGAGGGGGAGGAGGGGGAGGAGGAGGAGGGGGAGGACGCGGAGGAGGACGCGGAGGAGGAGGAGGAGGAGGAGGAGGAGGAGGAGGAGGAGGAGGAGGAGGAGGAGGAGGAGGAGCACCTCTCAGAAGGCCCGAGACCTTCCGAGCTTTCTGAGAAGGCCCGCGCCCCCTCGCCCTTCCCCCCGGGGCTCGCCTCGTCCGGAGGTTCGGGGGTCGACCCTCGATTAGGGTCTGGACGGACTCTCACCACGCACCAAACCACCCCAATTTAACCCGAAGGCCTCAATTTGCCGTCCATTTTAAGTTGGGGGGGGGTCGGGGAACACTGAAAAAACACATGGAACTCGTACCCCCCCAACCCGAAATTTGGGTCAGATCGGGTCTTCGGGTTGGGTTGGGGTGGTCTGGTAGGTAGTCAGATTCTGGGGCTCTGGGCGACGCCCATCCTGGGCGGATCGATGTTTCGATCCATGCACCCCACAGCTCTCGATTCCCTTTTCTGGTGACTGGTTTCGTGACGTATTGTTTTCTGGCGGACCTGGGGCCTGGAATGCCCCGCCCCTCCGAGGCGGACATGTATGACACATGTTAGCTGACGACATACATTTGCCGGATCTCCGCCCTCGGGAGGCTGCCAGTCTTCATCTATTTGTCCACCCTCCGCATCAGGCTTTTGTTGCATGTCGCACTGCTGCAACTGCGTCTGCTGCAGCAGCTGGCAGTGCTGCTTCGGATGCTCGTTCTGCGGCTCCGAGTGCTGCGGTGGAGGCTCGTCGACGTGTGCCATGTACGCCTGTGGTTCGTTAGTCTGTGGATGGCGGTGTTGCGCCTCGGACGGGGGATCACCGCTCGCCTCTGCAGAAGGAGTTCGGGTCAGCTCGGGTATGTGCAGCTCCGCGCGAGAGGCCCCAGGCCAGAGCGTCATGCGCGAGCGTGCCCTGCAGCCGTCTGTAGAGGAGCTGCAGCTATCGCCGAGGGTGCACAGAAGGTGGCTGTTGCAAGCACTGGAGATTCTGCGGCGTGCCGGCGGGGGCACGGCGATGCCCGACTGGAAGTCTGCTCCTCTGCTCCCTTTGGAGCCCGCTGCCGAGGGTGGCGCGAGTTTGGACCAGGCTTCGCCCGATGAGAAGGAGCCCATCACGAAGAGCGAGGAGACGGAGCTGAAGGTCTGGGCGCGCGCAGTCATTCTCAGAGCACGCGAGCTGCAAGACGTGGGCATATATCCCTCCGACGAGGTCAGCCCTGACCACCCCGACGGCCCAAACTGCTCGGACGGCCCGACCGTCACAGAGCACGTCCGAGAACACAACAGCACGCAGGTGGGAGCCACGGGCCACCAGACTGCCCTGCTGAATTTCAACGCGAGCGTTCCGTTTCAGACACGTCGGGGACGGCATTTCTGGAACGTTTGCAATTGCGTCTTCTGCTCGCCAGGCTACACGTGGACGAATCACATGGACGGAAACGATGATAGCTAGTGCTGCTCATCCGAATCTGATTCCTCTCGCTCCGCGGGGTGCACGTCCGGAGTGCGTGCAGTCAAGTCGTTTTGGGGGTTCTCGGGAGTCTCTTGGGGACTTCTTTGGGGTCTCTTTGGGCTTCTAGGGGGCGTCTTGAGCCGTATTGGGCGCTGTTGCGCCGTTTGGCCCCTGCGGAGGTCGTATTGGGGGCCTCCCGCGGCCGCCTGGAGGCTCTCTTGGGGTCCTCTTCGGCCGTCTCGGGGGCCCCTTGGGCCGTCTTGGGGACCTCTTTGGGCCGTCTTGGGGCCCTCTGGTGCCGTCTTAGGGTCCTCTCGGGCGTTTCTTGAGCCGTCATGGGGCGATTTTGGAGGCTGCTTGGCTCGTCAGGAGTCGAAAAAAGCGAGAACGCGAAGATCCTTCAAAACCCTCCGGAGAATCAATGATTTGGGCTTGCGGAGGCGCTATTGGGGCTCCTCTGGGGGCCCTCCTGGGCCGTCTTGGGCGCTTTTGGGGGCCCTCTGGGGGCCATCTTGGGCCGTCTCGGGGCCGTCGCGGGCCGTCGAGAGCCCACCGCGAGCCATTTTGGGGGCCCTCGTGGGCCCCCGGAAGGGGCACGCGGCGTGCGGAGTGACGCCGCGGCCGAAGGTTTGCAAGGCCATGGTCTGGAAGAGAAAGGGCTGGACGTGCCCAGCGTGTCGCCCCAGTTCGGTGTTGCTCGGAGGTGGATCGAGCTCCTACCCTGACGCGTCGATTGAGGAATTGGCCGTCCTCGGTTCGCGAGAGGGCGTCGCGGCCGTCATTTTTGCGTGTCCAGGTCCGTCGGTTTCGGTCCCAGGCCGTTTTCACTAAGGGGAGGTTTACTAAAGCGAGGCCGAGATTCCTCGGGAAGCAGGGACAGCGTCTAACCGCGGCAAAGCAGGCCTGGCGTGCCCCGCCTGCCGGAAGCTCTCGTCCGCTCCAGAGCGGCCTGTCGTCAGCGGCCGCAGGAAAAACGAGCAGAATTGGCGCAGCGCATCGATTTGGGACGGTTTTGCAAGCTCGTCTGCCGCCACGTGGGTTCCGCACGCCGTGCACGCCGTCCTGCCGTCTCGGCGTCGGTCGGGGGGCTTGTTGCACGCATCGTGAAAGTCATCCGGCGCCTCTAGGGCTTCTGCAGGGTCCCTTTGGACTGCCCGGAGTCTGTCCAGTCCAGTCATTTGGAGACCTCTTCGGCCCCTCTTGGAGAACTCCTGGGGGCTTCTTGGGGGCCTGTTGGACGTGTCCAGTCCAATCCATTGGAGACCTCTGGGGCCGCTCTTGGATGGCTCCTGGGGGCTTCTTGGGGGCCTGTTGGATGCTTCCTGGGGGGCCTCAGGGGGATTCCTGGAGGTCTCTTGGGGGAGTGTTGGGCCGTCTTCGGGCAATGTTGCGCCGTCGAGTCCGTTCGGAGGCTGTCTCGGGGGCTTGTCGGGGCCGCCTGGGGGCTCTCTGGGGGTCCTTTTGGGCCGTCTTGGGGGCCTCTTGGGACGTCTTAGGAGCCTCTTTGGGCCGTCCTGGGGTCCTCTTGGGCCGTCTTGGGGGACCTCTCGGGGGCTTTGTGGGTTGTTGTGGGGCAATGTTGGAGTCTGCTTAGGCCGTCATGGGCCTGTGAGAGTCGAAAAAGGCGAAGGCGCTAAAATCATACAAAAACAATTGGAAAATCAAATATTTGGGCTTCTGGAGGCGCTATTGGGGGTCCTCTTGGGGCCGTCTTGGGTCTTCTTGGGGCCTTGTTGGGCCCCCTTGGGGCCATCTTGGCCCGCCTTGGGGCCGTCTTGGCCCGCGCAGAGGCCATCTTGAGCCGTCCTGGCGCCCTCGTGGCCCCCCAAGAGGCCCAAGAAGCCGAAATCATAGAATTTACAAAAGTTTTGGTAGGTGTTGGGGCCCCCCAAAGTGGTCGCCAGGTTGGGTCGATGGATGTGGCGTAGCCCCTGGGGGCGGAGTCAGGGGGGAGACATAATAATGTAACACAAGACAATATGTAGCAATTCTACAATTATGGGATGCAATGGATACGTTGCATTATCGCCTCCGCAGAAAACGCTGCCGCTCAGCACGTCATTTCCGGACGTGGATTCTATAGGCTTACGCCACATTCTCCGAACCCTATATACACGATTGCGCCTCCAGGACTGGATTTCACGAGGCTTGTCCGAATCATGACACGGCGCTCGACATCGTTCCTGTTGCTTCGTTGCTGTTATCGTACTTCTTGGTGCTCTTTTGTGGCCTTTTGGTGGCACCTTGGCCTGTCTGCAGGCCATATCCAGCCGCCTCGAGGCATCTTGGGCCAAGTTTTGGGTCCTCTTGGGAGCTTCCTGGGGGCTTCTCGGAGGCTTTTGAGGTTCTCTTGGGGGTCCCTCAGGGCCTCTTGGGGTGTTCTTGGGACAGGCAGGGGGCGTCTTGGGGCCGAAGGCTCGAACAGGTCTGGGGGCCCTCTTGGGCTGTCTTGGGGGCTGCGTGGGCTGTTTTTGGACCCTCTTCGGCCCCTCTTTGGGGGCCCCTTCGGCCGTCCGGAGGCGATATTGAAGGTTTCTTTGCCCGTCTTGGACGTTGTGAAAGCCGAATAGGCGAGTATGCGAAACATGTTGTTTTTGTATCCAAGGGAATGGGACTATTTTTTTCTTGGGACCCTTTTTGGACGCATCTTGGGGGTCTTTTGGGGCGTCTTGGCAGCTTCGGTGGCCGTCTGGAGGCCATCGTGGGCGTCAAGCAGCGATATTTCGGCGACTCGTGGCCCGTTGGGGCCGTCTGGGGAGCGTTTTGGTGCCTTCTTGGCCCGTTTTGGAGCCCTCCGCTCCCCCATGACGCGTTCGGTCCGGGGTCGGGCCGGGCCAGGGGGGGGTGTCAATTTGCCGGTTGGGGTCCTTGGGGGGGGATCAGGGGGGGGGGTGATCTCACACGCCTAGAGACCCACAACGGGTCGGCGGACTCTGCCGATATGTGTGCTTGATTCTCGTTTTAAGATTGCTTTGTCATCTAGACTGCCAGACGTGAAGCATCTGAGGCTCGTTTCTGCCGATCGGGTCAGATGTAAGAGGTAGGGGGAACAACGCAGCCCTCCGTATGTCGCGCTGCCGTCTCATCTCCCATGCGAGATCGGCCAAACAGTGCAGCCAGAAGTTTTGTTGCGCTTCTTCCACCTTTTCCAGACCCAAGCCCACGTGTGCGGGCTGGTGTGCGCGCATGCCGCATGCTCTGTCGCTGCGACGCCTGCCTGGTGCATGGCTTCGGGACTGGGACTCCGCAGGAGGCAGCGACACGCCGCCGCCGTGCCCGGCCGAGGCCCCCCCGAGCCCCGGGACTGTGCGCCGACGCTCCCGACCCCAGCCGGGAGAGCGCACGCGCCACGCTGGGACCCAGGGAGGGCCGCGGCCAGGCACGATTGGTCGTACAAGCGTGCCTTCGGCGCAGGCGACGGGCGCCCGCGGCGAGCTGCCTTGGGCTCGGCGCCCTCCTCTTCGTCCTCCTCCTCCTCCTCCTCCTCCTCCTTCTTCCCCCTCCAACTTCCAACTTATGGCGGTGGTGGTGGTGGTGGAAAACAGGCCCATCATCGACGCCGTCCGTGTCGCGAGGCTCGCAGCCCCTGCGGGCGTTTTTTTTGTTTGTTCGCTGCGCGCTGAGCTGCGCCCCGTCGGGCGCGACCGCCTGGGGTGAGCGTTTGCTCGCAGGCGCCGAGGGTGCGCTGGCTCGGCATGCGTCAAAGCAGGTGGGGCTGGAGCTGCAGCACACCGCGCGAGCGGGGCCGCCCCCCGTAGTTCAAGAAGAGGCCGCCGCCGCCGTGCAGCCGCGCCGCCTCGGATCCGCGGCCCTCCTCCCCGCGGGGGGGGGGCGGCGGCTCCAGAAGACGCCTAGCCGGGACCCCCCCCGTGAAGGGGAGCCGGTTCGTGATTACAGTAGGGGCGTTGACCTAAGGAACACTAAATAAGGAACGAGGCCCCTTTTTTCCATAAGTTAAACTTCGATTTCCTATCGAAAACATAAGGAAAACCTGAGGCAAGCTGTGAAACACTTAAGGAACGCGGAGCCCCTCCCGAACGAAAAGGGTTCCTTCTTCAGGGCCCCGGCTGTAGGCCCCGAGGTGCAAAAGATTGATTGGAACCACTAAACACTGAACCAGGCCCTGCGGCAGTTGGTGTTTTTCGCGTGGCGGCAGTTCCGGGTGGTGGAGGGGGGGCGGGGGGGGGGCGTCCCCTGGCACAACTTTTTGAACCAGTCACACGAAACCCAGCTGTGACAACGCCCGAACGACGGCCCTTGAGGGCCCCAAGAGGCAGGAGAGCGAGTTGAGATTCGTGGAGACAACGGCAGTTGGCCTTCGGGGGGTCCCCCCGTCACTCCGCCGAGCGCAGCTCGGAACACTGGTACGTGTGCACCCTGGGAGAGGGGTCTGGGGATCGATTTCGGGCTGCTGTTGTCTCAACTCGCCCTGCTCCGCAAGAGGGCCCCAAGGCTGCGCCGAGAGGCCATCCGAAGACGCCCTCCGAGGGCGCCAGGCGGCCGACGGCCGCCCCAGGGCGGTCCGAAACGCCCCCCAGCAGGCCCACCAAGAGGCCCCCAAGAAGCTCCCACGAGGTCCCCGGGAAGCCTCCAAGAGCCAAGGGAGGACAAACCACCCCGACCCCTGATAACCGAAGGAGAACAAACAGCATAAACATAAACTTTTGGCGCTCCGCGCGGATCTCTTGGATCCGCGCTGGGCCCACCCTGGCGGCGCCTCTGGCGCCGCCCCTGGCGCGCGGAACGCGCCAGGGAGGAGGGCCCAGCGCGCCAGGGAGAAGCAGAGCGGTCTGGGGCCCCTCGCCGCCCTGGGGCGCCTCCGCCCGGGGAGCGTCGGCTGGAGCACGCCGCCCCCCAGGCTCAAGTCGGGCCTGTCCCTGCACAGGGGGAATATTCCAAAATAGTTGTTTTTGTTTTCTCTTTTTTCCTGGTTGTTTTTTATTTAAAAAATAGCCTGCTATTGTTTGGGGTATTTTGGGGCATCTCTTGAATCTTTGTAGTGTATTTTTCCCCCGTCCAAGATCCCCCTGGAGGGGGACAGGCCCGACCCAACCCCAGGCGCAGCGGCCCCCCAGGGTCGAAGGAGAAGGAAGAAAGCTAGACGCGCTGGTCGCTGGAGGCAGGCAGATGTCGGAGGTGGATGGACCTCCTGCCCTGCCGCGTCGATCAGCGAATTGGCCGTCTTCGGTTCACGAGAGGGCGTCGCGGCCGTCGTCTTTGCGGGTCCCGGTCTGTCGGTTGCGGTCCCAGGCCGTTGTCACTACAGGGTGGTTTACGACAGGGAGGCTTGTCCACCGCCGCGTATTTCCGGCTTCCAGATCCCACTCCATTTGATCCAAGCTCCTGCCTACTTCAAGAGCCGATCTGCTTTTGCTGTGCTTTGCTGTTCTCTGGGAGGGCCTGAACCCAGTCTACTTTATCCAACTTCCTACTTCATGTTTTTACCTACTTCTTCCGACCGGCGTGTAAAAATAGACTTTTGGGCGCTCCGTGCGGATTTCTTGGGTCCGCGCTGGCTCCCCCCCCCGGCCGATGGCGCGCTCCGCGCGCCAGGGAGGGAGTCCAGCGCAGATCCAAGAAGTCCGCGCGGAGCGCCAACAGTTTATGTTTATGGCGTTTTTTTTCTACTGAGGGGTGGGGGGACACCGTTTTACCCAGACATCCTGTCGCAGGCCTAGAGGTTGACACCAACACCAACATCGGCGGTGTGCCTCCACCGAGGGAAGAAGATCCCGATCTCGGTGATGGTGGTAATATTCTGGCTGCCAAGGTGGCCGAAATATTACCACCAACACCGAAATCTAGGATCACCTTCCCCCTGTGGAGGCAACCCCCTGTGTTGGTGTTGGTGCCCATTTCCAGGCCTCCAGTACTGAGGGGTGGGGACACCGTGACACCCAGACATCCTGCGGAAAGCAGGTCCCCCCAAAGAGCGCCAAGATGACATCGAGCTTCGCGCACCTTCGCGCGCTGCGGCCGGGTGTCCGCCAGGGTGCTCCTCTCCCCCCTCCTCCTCCAGGGCGGCGGCGCGACGGCGCGGAGAGAGCCGCGCGTCGCGCCTCGCGGGGCGCGACGCGAAGCTAGGCTTCTGTCGGGCGTGTCCCCCTACAGGGGGATTCTCGACGAAAAATAAAAAGAATACCCCAAAACTAGTCAAAAAATAGTCCGGGGACTATTTTTTTAGTATTTTTTGACCTTCTTGGGGTATTTTTGGAATATTTTTTATTTTTCGTAGAAAATCCCCTTGTAGGGGGACAGGCCCGACCTAAAGCTAGGCGACCCATGGAGCCGGGGCTCAGGGGACGGGGGTCAGTGCAAACGGAGGTCAGCCACAGCGCCAGAGCTCGCAGGATCCCGCAGAGCCAGGGGTGCACTCTGGCCTGGGCTGGCGCGAAGGCTCCTGCAGGAGCCTGCAGTTGCCCTCGCAGGATCTTGCAGAGCCAGAGTGGCCTGGGTTTGCACTGGCCCGGGTCAGCGCGTCCCCGACAGGGCTGTGCGAGCCACTTGCGAGCCTTCGTGTTCGGGTTCCTCTCGTGGCCTGCGGAACGGAGGCCAGACGACCATTTTGGGTCGAGCGGCTTGCCCAGGGACTCAGTGCCGCGTTGTGCCGCTTTTGTTGCTGTTGCTGCTGTTGTTGCTGTTGTTGTTGTTGCTGCTGCTGCTGTTGTTGCTGCTGTTGTTGCTGTTGTTGTTGTTGCTGCTGCTGTTGTTGGTGTTGTTGTTGTTGTTGTTGGTGTTGTTGTTGTTGTTGTTGTTGTTGTCGTTGCTGTTGCTGTTGCTGTTGCTGTTGCTGTTGTTGCTGTTGCTGTTGCTGTTGTTGTTGTTGTTGTTGTTGTTGTTGTTGTTGTTGTTGTTGATACAGGCGGGGCAAGCCCCCCCGGGGGGGAGGGGGGGAGGGGGGGGAACAACACAACACAACACAACGCACCCCTACAGGAGGATCCTGTGGGATCCGTACAGGGTTCCATAGGATTCCCACACGACCCTTACAGGGTTCCATAGGACGCCCATACAACCCCCACAGAGTTCCATCGGACTCCCATTCGACCCCCACAGGGTTCCATCGGAGTCCCATAGAACCCCTACAGGGTTCCATCGGACTATTTCGGCGCACCCCTCACGCGGCCCGTGGCCCTACAGGGGGCGCAGCCGAAGGCTTCGGGACCATTTCGGCGCACCCCTCACACGGTTCGTGGCCCTACAAGGTGCGCAGCCGAAGGCTTTCGCGGCCCCACATGTGGCGCACCCGAAGGCTTCGGGCCCATTTCGGCGCACCCCTCACACGGTTCGTGGCCCCACAGGGGGCGCAGCCGAAGGTTTCGGGCCCATTTCGGCGCACCCCTCACACGGTTCGTGGCCCCACACGGGGCGCAGCCGAAGGGATGAGGAGGACCATGATGAGGAGGATGAGGATGATGAGGGATGATTATGAGGATTTGGGCGGACGAGGAGCCGATGAGGATGATGAGGACCATGATGATCCCTACAGGGATCCTGTAGGGTCCCTGTAGGGATCCATAGTGATCCTCTAGGGCCCCTGTAGGGATCTAGAGGGATCCCATAGGGCCCCTCTATTTACAAAAAGCTATCCCATAGGGTCCCTGTAGAGGTCTAGAGGCATCCGATTGGGTCCCTGTAGAGATCCAGAGGGATCCCTATAGGGTCCTTATAGGGATCTACAGCGATCCCATAATGTCCTGAAGGGGCCCACAGGGATCACATAGGGTCCCTGTAGGGATTTAGAGGGACCCCATGGGGACCTTGTAGGGAGCCCCAGGGATCCCATAGGGTCCTTATAGGGATCTACAGCGATCACACAAGATCCCTGTAGGGATCCAGAGATCCCATAGGGTCCCTGTATGGGCCCACAGGGATCCCACATGGTCTCTGTAGGGATCCACACGGATCCCATAGGGTCCCTGTAAGGGTCGACAGGGATCCTATACGGTCCGCGTACGGACCCACAGGGATCCCATAGGGTCCTTGTGGGGATCCACAGGGATCCTATCCATAGGGATGCTCTCAGATCCCTATAGGAATCCATAGGGATCCTCTAGGTCCGTTGTAGGGACCCATAGGCATCCTATAGGCCCCCTGTAGGGATCGATAGGGATCCTCTCGTATCCCTGCAGGGATCCATGGGGATCCTCTAGGATGCAGGGATCCATAAGGATCCTCTCGTATCCCTGTAAGGATCCATAGGGATCCTCTGGGATCCCTGTAGGGGTCCACAGGGATCCTCTAGGATCCCTGTAGGGGTCCACAGGGATCCTCTAGGATGCTTGTAGGGATCCATTGGGATCCCCCGTAGGATCCCTGTAGAGGTCCACAGGGATCCTCCAGGATCCCTGTAGGGATCCACAGGGATCCTCTAGGATCCCTGTAGGGATCCATAGGGATCCCCTTGGATCCCTGTAGGGATCCATTGGGATCCTCCAGGATCCCTGTAGGGGTCCACAGGGATCCTCCAGGATCCCAATAGGGACCCATTGGGATCCTCCAGGATCCCTGTAGGGACCCATTGGGATCCTCCAGGATTCTTGAAGGGATCCATACACAGATCCTCTTAGGATTCTTGTAGGGATCCATACAGATCCTCTCGGATGCTTGTAGGGATCCACAGGGATCCTCTAGGATGCTTGTAGGGATCCATACAGATCCTCTAGGATGCTTGTAGGGATCCACAGGGATCCTCTAGGATGCTTGTAGGGATCCACAGGGATCCTCTAGGATGCTTGTAGGGATCCACAGGGATCCTCTAGGATGCTTGTAGGGATCCACAGGGATCCTCTAGGATGCTTGTAGGGATCCACAGGGATCCTCTAGGATGCTTGTAGGGATCCACAGGGATCCTCTAGGATGCTTGTAGGGATCCACAGGGATCCTCTAGGATGCTTGTAGGGATCCACAGGGATCCTCTAGGATGCTTGTAGGG